TACTTCACTAAAAAATATTATTTTTTGCATGTGAAAGACTTATAATGTTAACTTAATTTTGTGAAGATATACACATTATATTGAAAGTTAGAAGTATTAAATATATAAAGACTTTAAACGAGTACAAAGAGGTCATGAGGTCAGTCAAATTAACCCGAGCCCATGTTGAGAGAGTTAAGAAAATCAAATGTTACATAGTTTCATTAGTTTTCAGTATTAAAGTTTGAATATCTGAAACCTTTTTTTTTTTTTGCAAAGGTAGTTTAAATGTTGTCTGTCTGTCTTTTAATAATAATGATAAAATACTTAAAAATTTAAAAGCTACACCATAGCCAAATATTGAAAATTTATTTAAAATATCAAGCGAAATAAAATTTTTAATTTTTGAATTGAAACATCTACTTTCATTATATTTAAGTTAAATATCAGAAGACAGAATTGAACATAAAATTTATTGTAGTATTTTTGTGCTTGGGAAAGCGTTTCTAGATGTTTGAACAGTGGAAAATTCAAGTACCCGTAATGAAGTTTGCTAATGCTGTAATTAGGATCTGGAGTTGTTCACTCATAAATGAGGAAAGTGTACATTTAATGAAATTTACTTCAATGGGATATTTTGTATGAACACGATTCTTGCTTATTTACCATGTACGTATTAAAATGCCTCATGCGAACACCAAAATATATATATATATACTGTCATAAGTACGGTAGTACTTATAGCAGAAATTGGCCAGGCATGCAATATGTGCATTACAAATTAAAAGTGTAAAGAAAATTATGAAGTAGGAATGGGAGCACCAAAATGTCAGGAAACAAAGTAGGAATGGGTGGAATAATGTTGCAACACTTGGTGGTTTTTGACACAATGCAACCTCAAAGTGGGCATGGCTGTCATTCCACCCATTCCTACTTCACATGCTTTTTGTAACCTGTTAATTGTTCAAACTAAATGAATGGTGTATATAGTTAAATTTCTCTGTTGTAAATTTTGTTTAAGCAACCAAGTATAGATACATGTATGTAATCAAATTATGTGACCCTAACGAAATGCATGACATTATAAGGGGGTGTTTGATGTTGGAAGTAAGACAGTAAGCTCAATAGTCATACTTTGCTTATAGCAGACATTATAGCTCTCTGACTGTTAAGGGGTGGGCCAACAGAATAGTATTAAAACCACTAATTTTTAAAATTTTTGAATTTTTTAAGTACTTAGAAAGGATTAGTTACTGGAAAAACTCAATTTAAGTCTATATTTGGATCAACTTCCAAAGTAAAACACAAAGTAGGAATAGGCAGAACATTGGCCACATCCACTTTGAGGTTGCACTGTGTCGAAAACCACCAACTGTTTTAATGTTATCCTGTTCATTCCTACCTTGTTTCCTCACTTTTTTGGTGTTCTCATTCCTACTTAATAATTTTTTTATTTAAAAAATTTTTACACTTGTAACTAATAAATTTGTATTGCACACAAAAATCCATTATGACAGAGTTTTATATGATTTTAGGTTGTTTTAGACATGCTATCTTTCACTTTTTATTTACAGGATTAAAAAAGTCTTTATTAAAACTGCAAAATGTCTTGCTGGGAGGAATAATTTTATAAGAATATTTGTGTTAAAACACTGAAGTAGAATTTGCTATAATTGTATTGAACTTGTGAAATAGTTTATTATGTTTAGTTTTTGTAAATATGGGCTAATGGCTTGTTGCATAATTGCAGGAGAATCCAGAGCCTTCTCGGTGTATTGGTGTTTTTGGTTTGAGTCTGTATACACAAGAGAGAGATTTGAAAGAAGTATTTTCTAAGTATGGTCCAGTGGAAGAAGTTCAAGTAGTATATGATGCCCAGGTTGGTGTTAGTTATAAACTTTTTATTTCTTTGTTCTGTAATCAAAGTTCTTTCTTTATTTTTTTGTCATAATTTACTCATTGTAAATATTGTATTACTAAGCTACCTTTTAGAGCTGTTCAGTTAACTCAGTTGATTACATATGAAATCAGTGTTATGTGAAACAATCAATTAATTTCAAGAAAATAACCAACTAATCTAAATTAGTGTTTTCGATTATTCCAACTGTCCAAGTAGTTGAAATATTGTCATTTTGATTTCTCATTATTATTTTGGATTAATTCAAGGTTGTTCAGCTTTATCCATTGGTGTCATGATCCACAAAATAATCAACTTATCAAAATTAATGTTCCTAATTATTTCAACTATTAAACCTTATGTGAGAATAATCAATTATTTAAATGTAATCAATAAATGAGCCTTGCAATTAATTGTTTATAAAATTCCAATAAACACCCAACTCTATTACCTGTACATTGAGTGCAGTTGCTTCACTTCTTTACATGTACACAAAATTTGAAAATACATAGTTCTTTTTCTTATCCAGAAAAATTTGATAAATTTCAAGATGAATTGAGAGCATAATAATCTCTGTAAACAAGATTTTGTATTTTATTGAGGAATATTAATTTTTAATGCTAAGTTTTTTTAAAAAACATATTTTCTGAACCTGATTTGTTTTTCAGCATTATTACTTTTGTCTTTTCAAAATAAAAACAATCATATTTTCTTCCTAGCTTTATTTAAATAGTTTTTGTTTTCAACAAAGCTACGCCGTGAAATACCTATGCTGTGCCCAGCACAGGTATCAAAACCTGATTTTTAGTGTTATAAGTGTGACTGGCTTATATTTTTGAAGCCAATCTCTGCAGGCAAACCAGTCGAAACACAGATCACAACCAGTATTGCATTCTGGTGACCAGTTGGCAGACCTGTTTTTACTGCTGGTTACTAGGAGGGTTTGCCATGTTATGGGTTTTCCAAGCTGATGTCATTTTTGTTCTTCCAAACATGCAAGCCTATCCCACTGGTGCAAGGGTTAACTGTTAAAATACTTGATTGCATGCACTAAATAGCAATATAATTGACAATGAACCCTGTGCCAGTCAAGATTGTTGTGAAGAAAGATGTTAACATGGTGCAGGAAGTAGGTGCATCAGTGAAGAACAAATGGAATTGGGTATGGCTTGAGTAAAAGGTTGTTATTGATATCAACAAAATATTGCCTAAATTGTCTCATTGAGAGTAATCTGGGTGACTTCATTAGAGGGGTCTGTATAACTATAAAATGAAAGATCATAATGCATATAAATAAAAGTTTCCTTGTAGGTCCTAGATCTAGATGTACTGCAGGCCGAGGAGTAATACTATGTTTCATATTATTAATATTTGTGATGTGTCATACTTTAAGTTTACTGTAAATATTTAGTCCTGAACCTAATGAATGCGTCTAATTTGTAAAATTAGCCATAATGTCAGTGACTTATTCCTAATTAGTCTATGTATCCCCATATTCATCAAGATATTGAGTAATATTAGTTTATGCCAGGAAGGCCTAAGCTAATGGTGATTATCAGTGGTGCCTATTGTTAAAAAAAAGAAAAAAAGTCACAGCCCCTTTACTCTGCTGTGTAGGCTTGGCATTAGTCTTTGGGTCTAAACAGACCATGTTAGTGTGTCAGGGGGTTCTTTTAATGTAATGATCTAAGTAAACATTTGACAAATATAAGGTCATGTACTATAAGCAGCTTTGTTAGTTTGTTTTATTCCATGACAAATCTTAATTTCTTAATATTACATTTTCTAAAATATAACTACAAGAAATTATTTTTATAGGTATTACTACACGGTGCCTCTTGTACGTGTATTTAAGCTTAAATTGTGGGTAGAGGGGGAAGACATTTTTGAGTACATTTTTAAATCAGTTATGCAAGATAAGCCAGTCTGGGAAATCCCTTTGTATAGGATGCAAATCTAAGGTTCTGGACTACAGTGGAAGAGGATGAATGTCTATGGAAGAAGGAAGAAGCCTGTGCAAAAGTGCACATAAGGCTCACAAACAGTGCACCAGGCCTGTTATGGCCAGATGGTTAGGGTACTGTCATGCACAGTGCTTTTTTACAAGATGAGGTTAGATGAAGCCAAGGAAAACATATTAGATAGTTAAAGAACCTCGTTCTTTTTTTTTTTAATATTGATGAGTAGTGAGTACAAAATGCAAAAAAATATGTTGACTCTGTTAGTCAGTTAATATTCTGAAGGAAATTGTTGTTGTGGTTCAACATTTAAACTCACTTGATTTTACAGTAGTTATTCAAAATAGCCTTTTTGAGGGACTCTGTAAAATGTTTGAGACAAAGTAATTTCCATGAAATAATTTGTTTCTGTGTTGTTGGACAGCTATGTAATTCTTTAAAAATCAAAATATGCTCTGGAGAAGCAAATTAAAGGAAAAAAGACCAGGCAGCTAATTTACGTTGATGGTGACTCTTGTAACTATATCTGCAATGGTGCCAAGAAATCTTGTGAACATTTTTAAGAGCCTATTTACACAAATTTAAAATGATCACAAATGACAAGTGGTCTCCAGATCTTCATCAGAATTTGGCTAGGATTTGTAAATTGGTATCTATGAAGTTTTCAGTACCTGTTGCCTGTATTGTTTGAAGATGGTTATCTTACTGTGATGTAAGGTTGAGCACTGTAAAACTGATGGATGCCTACACAGTTTTCTATTATGATTTTTTACTTCCTGCACATAAGAGGCTCTACCATACAATTATAAATGCCAATCTGGAGGAGAAACAAGTTGGCACAGAAGGATGAAGGAAGATCAAGGAGATTCAGACAAAACTTTCAGAAAAAAATCTTTGACAAAAGTTGGAAAGTCAAGAAAGAAAAAGATCTATGAAAAAATCATTTCCAAGAGCAGAGAGACCAAACTAATTATTCATTTCTTTTAATTTGGATTAGAGATTTTGAAGAAATATGTGTGCATCTTCCAGGCAAAGAACCAGTGATACACATCTTACATGACTCACAGCTTGAAGTTTTCAAGGAGCTTTTCTGTTACTTAACAGCCAGAAAAACTAGCTTCCAAGGCCACCAGTGAAGCAATTTCACTGAAGATGTTGGATGTTGCTAGTGAAGCAAATCATCTGCCAACTGTAGACGTTTTGTAAGGACTGAATATAGGCAAGTTAGTAGCCAAAGTAAATAAGCATGACTCCCTCCACAGTCAGGCATTTACAGTAAAGTCAAGCTGTGCTGTTTATCTGCAAGTGAAACTCTCATTAGCAAATGAAGTAAAATATGCCCGTCTAGTAAAGTTCAAGTACTTGTAAAAATAACCAATCTGGTGGATATACTGACAGAGCCAGAAAGAGTCATGTATGAACAAAAAGTCTACAAGTTGCATTGTGCAGAAAGCATTTCCTACAGCTGAAGATGATGGCAAGAAGATATGTGTAGATCATTGGTAAGGTCAGGTGAAAGAAAAATACCAATGTGTTGGCAGTGTGGTTCATCCTGTACTTGCATGCTTCTTTCAAGTGGAAAGTAGTTCGTCTACAATGAATAGTATAGTAGTCAGCAAACTGGGTAATATCTGAACAGATACATACAGTGCTATCCAGACTGTGAGTAATGAGTGTAAAATTGGAATTGGAAAAACTGAAACTAACCAAAACAAAATCTAAGTTGGCAGTACTTGTCGTGAATAAGAAAGTTAAGTTGTCTCGTAGAAGGAATGCAATAAAAGTATCAACCACCAAACCAGCAAAAGAAAATAAACTTTAAATCTATCACTTATGTGACAGTATCTGTAAATATAAGTAAACACACACACACACGCACGTTCATAAACATAGAATAATTTGAATACTTATACATGTAAACTTGACTGTTTTTGTGCATTATTGAACAGTGAAGCAGATATGCCACTTCGATATTATATAACAAGAATGTGTATCTTAAGCAGTATTACACACTATGAGTTTCTATATAACAAGAATAGTTAATATTTAGTGTGTGTGTGTGTGTGTATATATATATATATATACACATTCTATATTGTTCTATACAAACAGATTAAAAATTTAAGATGACATAATAAATATACTTATTTTGCTGTTTTGTGAGTTTTATTTCAACTTTCATACTCATAAATGAACTCTTGAGTAAGCTTCAAAATATGCTGAACTAGCACCACGGAGCACCTAGATATTCCAAAGGTTCCAGGGGCCTCAGGTAGACCATGGACCCCCAGCTTTTATGGTTGTAGTTCTAGGATGTATTGTTCAGAATTTTTAAATTTTTTTTCGGTTTTTAACTTCAGGCTCATGTCTAATTCTGTGACAATTACAGACTTTTACATTTTTAAACAAAAATGTTTAAAACAACATTTTCTCAGAAATCAGTTGAAACAATTGACCAAATGGCCTTGGTACTCTAAGATAAAAAACAACATTTAACCCCAATTATTGACTCTACTCACCATGTACATCTGTGTAAAATCATCATAACCTAATGAAGGTTAATAATTGAATATCAGCATCTCAATTAAGTATGTCAGGTATGTTAAATTGCCTGTTTTGACACCATTTTAGGTGTTTTCACACACTCATATCCAAATGAGCATTAAGCTAATGAGATGATTTTCATAATTTTGTCAGTGATATAGCCAATAGTAAGAACTTTCAAGTGAGCTATATTAAGATGATATATATGATCATTATTAATAATTGTATAATTGTACATTTATTTAACATAATACTTAAAAATCTCGTAGGTTATTATTGAAATACCAGCATATGGAAAAACAGACCACAGAAAGTAGATTCTTAAATAAAGTACATGTTCTTAACTTTCCAAAGAGCTTTGGTGTGCCCATTTAAAAAAATGGGACTCATGTTCTCAAGTTTGTTATAAAATTTATCACTATGTCTTAAAGTTTGCTTCTGACACTAAGTTTAAATAAAAATGGTCAAAGGGGTTTTAAAAAACAGACATTACTAAAAAAAAAGCAGCATATCTGATGACATCTTAGTTAACTTTGTAAGAAAAATTACCTACCTCTTTTTCTGTGTTATTTTATTTTCTTTATAATGACCTGGTTTATCTGTTTTTATTGATTTTAATTTATATGTTAGAACACTTCCAAATACTTTATCAGAGTTAATTTCACACAGTGTTTGTGCTTTTTATTAAAGAATGACATTAAATAGCTAATAAATTCATTATCCATTATCCTTTTCCACCTGCCTTTAAATAACTGTAAACAGAGAACTGTTAAATCTAGTTTTTTTTAGCTCATGTAAGCCAAACTTGTTTGGCAACATACTAAACTTGTAATGTTACACCAGAGTAATGATAATAATTACTAGACAAATAAATGGCTTCACCAGCATGACCCTACTTACAAGACAAACAAAACAAATATATTATCATTGTTATTAAAAGTTTAGTGTATTTATGGCATCTTGAGAGTATCAAAATGAAGTGAAAAATACAAATGTTATTAAATTATTCTAATAGAAAACATTAACTTTTTAAGAGATCTGAGTAAGTGGGCAGTAATACATGTATAACACATGCACTACAACTAAAGAACATTTCCTACAATTTATAACCATTAAATGTTTTTGCAACTACTTTATGGTTCCTGTTAGGAAACATATTTCATTGAGCTCTCTTATTGATATACACAAAACAGCCTGGTTAGTATAAGTAGTATTCCCTGATTTTTGTTTTGTACTCATCTCAGTGATGTAAATTTTTCTGAATTTTTGTGTTGTGATTCAAACAATAAATACCCCAGCTTCTAGCTGTATATATGTAATAGAGCTGAGTGATTAGATGAATTAGCTAATGAATTAACCATTGAGCTCATTAATCAATTACATTAAACTGACTATTTTCACATGAGACTTAGATTGTTGAAATAATTGGAAAACTAATTTTGATTAGTTTATTAATTTCATGGGTTGTGACACTAATCAATTAAGCTGAACAATGATGAGTTGATAAAAGATAATAAGTAGAAGTCATAATAGCAGTAATTTGGTTATTTGTATGTCTGAAACAATCAAACAGTAGTGACTGGAAATACTAACTTTGAATAGTTGATTATTTTATATGACACAGATGAATGTAAAAGATTTAATTACCTAGTTCTAATATATAAGGTTTTATTTTTTAAATAGATGTAAGTGGCAATGATTCTTCTTTTGTCTTTCAGAGTGGGAGATCCCGTGGATTTGCTTTTGTCTATTTTGAGTCTGTTGAAGATGCTGAAGAAGTAAGGTTATTTCACTTGTTTTATTCATACTATTAGTTTTGGTTTTTGTAAAAATTACTTTTGTCTACCTAACCTTGTGTTCCAACACAAGAGCTGATATTTTTATATCGTTACAAGCTGAGGTACCCGTCCTTTGTTTGGAGTATGAACTTAAAAAATGTGGGGTGGATGCTATGATAAATAACACAAAAATTCTAACTTTCACACAATTT